TACAAGATAATGAAAGAAATGTAATCAAAATAAATAATTTAATCAAAAATAAAGCCTTGTATTATAATCAAAGTAAAGTCTTGGAAGTAATACAAAGCTTTACTAAGTAATTCTTGTAAAAAAAAAAATTTCTTTCATTATCTTGTGTTACCTATATTACTAAACACATCTGTATTAAATAGTGACTTTGTTTTCAGGTCTAGTGTTAATCTCAAATGTCTAGTCTTTAACATATTTGTTAAATTAATAAGCTTAGTAGATAATGTGGTTGATTTTCTACAGATATCGGTTTGCTGCCTTACCCAATAAATTTTCTCATTCTGAAGACAAACGAATTCAGCCTCGGACATCTCTTAAACTTTTCCAAGGATCTCAGTTGTTAAGTGGAGAGAAACTTCACCTACAAAGAATGCTCAATGCCTGGTTTGGAAATTCGAAGCAAATGTGGCGTCTCCTTTACAGAGCATCCACCCACGGTTACACGGCTGAAGCATTTCATTATCACTGTGATGGGCATAGTCCCACATTTGTCATAGCTCTGGTGAGAAATTTGTTATCTTAGTTATTTACAATGGTAGTTGTATTCTTACTCTTTTTTTTATATATATATAAGTATATATATAGGGGAGAGTCGGGTAATCCTGCCTACTTAAGGAGTCTTGATTATATTTCTGTATAATATTGTGTAATAATCAATACTTTTGTATGTTTCTATTGTCTTATCATCTAATTAAATAATGCAAAAAGAATAGACCAAAAAAATTATAGTTTAACTTAAAAATATTTTTTTAAGTTAAACTATTCTTTTATTAGTTTAAAAAAACACGTTTTTCAGCTCTTTTCAAAATGAGTCGGGTAGCCCCGCCCAGTTACAGAAATTACGTTTTTTTACTGTTTTTTCAGGTGTAAATGAAAATGACCAATGTATTGACAATAGATAAACCTCGTTTATCAGTTTTATCACAAAATTCAAACGATTTTTATTAATTTCATGACTACTGTATTTAACATATATTCGAAACTATTGTTTACCATGTTATCAGCTGCATAAATACTTAAAACTTTGAAAATAATATTTTTTTAAATATAACAATTAATGTCCGATGGCCCATTGACTTGAAAAAATACTCTATACATATGAAATTGACCGTGGGAACTCCACCCGACACTCCATCATATATTAACTATTTAATTAATTATAGATTTATTTTATAAGTTTCCATAATGAGTATACAAATAGTTTAAAATAAAATTACTTTCACCCTCTGTTGCAAAGTTTCATCGAACGAAATAAGCAAAAACCATTTCATTCCTAAATGACTCCAAATCTTAAACAAAAACTTCGCTTCAAAAAATAAGAAGCCTGAATTTTCTCTTAGAAATATTCCAGTTTAATTTAAAAGTTTTCGGTAAACGCACTTTCCGAAAGAGTAAATTGCAAATTAACGATTGCTTTAGTACCCTTTCAAGCTTATTTCGAGAAACATTTTCCCTATCGATATCCTTAAACGGCTTGAATCAGCCCTGGACATTAAAAGACTTCAGAGAAAAGGATTGAAAACAATTCAGTTCCTTTTTCCCGATAAGAGAAATAGGGAACTTCTTCTCTTTTCCCTCTTAACAAATTCTGTTCCTTCCACAGCGATCAAGTCGTTCCGAAGTTTCCGGCCTGCGGAAAAAGAGGTTTTTCTCGAGGAAACTGCCATTTTGTTATGGTAAACAGCCACCTCCCCGGGCCCAAACCCCCATCGTCACAGGCGATAAGGAACCTGCACACTCTCCATTATTCCACCTCCGGACCCGGTGTTCAATCATCCTGTCCGGCAATGGTGATAAGGTGGCGATAAGAGTCCGGACGGTGAAATTGCAGGAAGGAAGCGGTGAAAGCGGTTGTTGCTACCGGCAACTGGAGTTAGGCCCAGACTCATTTACAGTTTTCCAAGTTCTCTTTACGAACTACGGTGGAGAAAAGGGAATGGGGTTTAATTTAAGATCTGATATTTGAGGTGCGAACTTTATGTACTTTCATCAGAGTCAGATGCTTATCTGTGTTTTGAGTTTTATACTTTAAAATTCTTTCTGCTTTTCTGAAATACAATCATTACGTTTGAGTATTTTGAAAACTTCGGAATTACACAGCAAACTATTTTAGCTTCTTACTCTTTTTTTNTGGGGGGGGGAGTGATTGAGCTATTGTTAAAAGTTAGCTTTTGCATTGAGTTCCATTTATAAAAGGTTTTTGCATCTGTGTTGAATTTAAGTCCTAATGCTTTAGCTTTATATGTAATTTTAACAGCTACTATCAAATCAAATATATTTTATGATTAAGCAAAAAATATTTTTTCATAATGCATTGGTAATGTTTTTAACAAGTGAGTATGTAATATTTAGCTTCTCATGTTGGAAAGTAACTGTAAAATTTGAATGTGCACCTTTTTTATTTGTCGTGATTTAAGTAATTTAAGTTAATATGTTTAACGTGTAATTAATACATAATATATTTTAACATTAAACTTAACAATGAAAAATTGACTTCAAAATTTCTAATTGAATTCAAAAGTATATTAATATATTAGCAATGTTGAATAATTAAAAAATAAACAAATTTATCTTGAATATTTAAGAATGCGTTGAACTTGGCTTAACAGAGCAGAAGTGGACAGAAATTAACATTATAAAATTGTTCAATACAATTTACAGAAACTTAAAAATGAAAATATAAATATCTTTATTATTCAACCAAAACCATACATGCATATTTTAACGGCGAACTTTTATGATGCAGGGCAGCATTGCTGGCAACCACAAAAATTTGCCAACTTCTAATCGATTGTAAACAATTACAGACGATATCCAAAACGCGGCAGCATTTGAGTTTTCAGAAGTGAAAATATTTAGCTTCTGTTGTGAGAGCACGTGATCTACCGGCAACTGAAGTTAGGCCCAGACTCATTTACCGTTTTCGGAGTTCTTTTTACGATCTGATATTGGAGGTGCAAACTTTATGTACTTTCATCAGAGTCAGATGCTTAAGAGTGTTTTGAGCAGAAAACCGCAATCTACCTACATAAATCGGGAAGAAGCAAAATATTGCAGTAAATTGAAGATTTAAGGGGGCATAACACAGTAAAATTGAATTTTTTTTTTGGGAGTTTAGACTTTTAAAGTTATGGTATCAAAATATTGAATTAATTTTCATAAAAATGTATACAAGTTGCAGCATAATATATCGAACGCAATTTACAACGGAGGACACGCTGTGTACTTGTCATGTGAACTTGCGTGCTCTTGGATTTACTCACTCCTATCAAAACATTTTAATAAAATATTAATCTTTTAAATATTTTATTGAAATAATTTTTTTAAATTATAAAAGAAAAGGAATTAATGGTATTTTCTATATAAATAGTTGAAATCGCAACTTATTCAGCTGTAATAATTTTTAATGAAGTTCGCAAAGAGTTATAGACAGTTCTGGAATAATAAGAAATGAATGTAGGCCCACAGCCAAAGAATATACTCAAAATTAAGATTACAGCAGAGTTATGGCTGATACTTTAGAAACATACAAGGCGTCACATAATGGTAAATCGACAAGAACTACTAGCTCAAAAATGATGAAGAAGAAGCATCTTGTGGACCTGGCATTGATGTATTATTGCTAGATGCAAAATTGTATATAGTTATATGGATTATTGATCACACGTCTCGCAATTAAACGCAATTTACTAGAAACTATGTTTTTCTTGTTTACTATCTCTGTAACTCGCACAATTTTCAACCGATTTACTTCTAATTGTGACACGCTGTTCACAATAAATATCGTTTTCATTGCACTCAGGGATTTTTTTAATAGGGTTGACTAGTTTCGAGTAATCCACGAAAAGAAAACTTATTTTATATCATTTTTTGAATTTTTTTCATTCAAAACTCCGCAATTTTGTGAGGAAAAAAAATTTTTTTTTTAAATCCTACTTGTATCGAAAACTACATTAATGTATTTTAAGAAAATTAAGACCAAATCGAATTTAGATGATTTTTTTTCCATCTAACTACATTTTTGTGTCCGGGGCCCTGCATGATATTAAGACTGCCTTGAGTCACACTTTAACTTCGTAGCTCGTAACATTATGTTCCCCTTAACATTTTATATCACTGTACTCTTACTGTACTTGTAACATTTCAAAAATTTAATATCACATTTTTTATTATTCTATTAAGAGAGTGATACGATTTAGGAAACTGGTGGTTTCAATAGTACCACTTGCTGACCTTTCAAATACAATTAATTTTCAGTACTTACTGTGCACATATTATTACCAAAAAAACAAGGATAATAATAATATAATAATAATAAAATAATAATAATAAGAGAGTTGTAGCTGAATGAGTGTATTTTATTGTTAAAATTCTTCAAATGTAATTTTCAGTAATCTGTGATTTATAAAAATTTAACTGTGAAAAGTGGTACGATTTAAGCAACTCACCTCTATTTAAATTTATTTTATTCTTTGTTTCGTGGTATCTGAAGTGTCAAAAATTAAATTTTGGATGGAAAGTGTAAAATCTGGAAATAAATACATTATCTTTCTGAATGCCATTGAAAAAAAAATTAAATAAAAGTATTAAATAAATTTCAGAGATAAGAGTTAAAATAATATAATTGTTAAAAAACAAACACTCTTATTTTTTTTTTAAAATAAAAGTAAATATTAATGTGACATAATAAACATTTCATTAAAGTGTGGAAAAAATGATGTAATTAAGTTCACTTTTTTAATTTAATTACGTGATGAATTTGTTTCTGTAATAGCGATGCAGAAAAACAAAACCAAAACCCTGATAAAGGCAGATAATTTTTCTCCCCACAAACAAATTCAAAACATTTCACCAGCTGCTGTAGAAGTAGGCGTGGTTGTTACAACAAACCCTTCACTCCCATTGGTCGATATACCTTCCATCGTTTTGAGCTGAAGTAATCCTTCCAATTGTGGCGGCAAACCGATTGGATAAGGCAGAAATATTTATCGTGGTCCTTCGCTGAGGTCAGTTGATTTGACTTCATCGCCTGACCCCAGGAAGTCCTGAACTAGTCCATCACTTGATATTGATAAGGATCGTCCTTCCGATGTTACTTCCTGATTATTTCCAAGTCCTTTAAAGTTACGTTTGACCACGTGTTTTTTCTAAGATAGCCTTTTGAAAAAATTATCAAGAATTACAAAACATTTCATTTTTAGAACTTTGATGATAAAATATCATTTAATTCACTTTGAGATACTTACTGTTAAAATGAAAAGTATAGTTTCTTACTTTTTATAACAAGTTCTATTTAAACTCTGAGAAAGAACAATTTTTTGGAACAAGAAGTAAATATTTTTAAAATAATGCAGCAACAAAGCAATGACAATAACATCAGACAGTTTAGTTATGAATTATTTTGTATTATGTTAAAAGCATCTGAACCAAGCACCTAATAGTCAAGAAGTATTTTCAAGAACTGAGTATCATAATTGCTGACGCATTCCACGAATAAAATGCTTTACAGTGGTAAGAACTTTCATTGATACATTATTTCTTAGATATTATAACCCTTTGTAATTAAAATTAATTTTGCAAACCAATTTGAAGATCAAATTTTATCTGTTATTATTAAAATGTGATTAAAAAGTGATTACTGATGCAGTGCTAGTTAAATATCTTTATTAAAAATACTTTTTATGTATTTATTATTGTTTATTTGTTCAATTATTGATTTTTCTTTTATGTTATTCTTTCATTTTATTAACAGATAGCTCAGAATGAAGGTTTTTGCTTCGATTATTGTATTTATCAAGAGCTTTGCAATTTTGATATCATAGAAAATGTTTTTATTTTTTCTAAAAAATTCACTTGAGTACTATTAATGTATATTCGAATATTGAAAGACAAGTAATATTATAGATCATTTAATATTATAGTTATCAAAAACTCATGAATTTGATTTAGTAAAAAAGAATCAATTTAAAATAATAGCTATAGCATGAGATGAATACTCATTAATAAAAACCTCTTTCATAAAGAAAATTCTGGAAATATAAAAGTTTAGAGAAACACTTCTGAGTGAAATTGGTGCATCAGATTACTTTAAAGAATAATTAAAGACCCTATACTTTTTTTTTTATTTCGTGTGATTTTGTTATCAATTTTATCTAACAACTACTGTTTAAAATAAATATTTGTTAAAAAAGAAGAAAGAGAATGATTTTTCAAAAAAAAAATTTTGATTAACATATTTCGTGTAAAAAAATTTAGCTAAATATATAAAACTTATTAATATATATGACTTAGTAAAAAATTGCGATTGATTCGAAAAACTGATTAATAAGAGAAATAAATAAAATTAAATCAAGATTGCATTTGTAGATTGTATATTAATTCTTCTTTATGCAGGGAGTTTACATTCAAGGTTCTTGTTTCTGTTATTTATTTAGAGCTGTAATAAATTTTGATTCTGTCATAAATTTTGATATCATAGCAAATGTTTTTTTCTTTCTGAAAAAGAAAAAAAGATTCAAGTACAATTTATACAGATTCGAATACTGAAAGACAAGCAACATAATAGAACACTTGCAATTATTCTTTAAAAAAGAATAATTGTCAATAAAATGATTGAAAAATGAGCACAAATTTTAATATAAATTAATTTTTTTAAATGCATGATTCAATCAAGCAGTCAACTGATGTAAAAGTGTAATAAAACGACAAATATTGAGAAAACAAATTCATGATTCTAGATAAAAAAAAATAAGAAAAATACTGATATTAATACTGATTTTAGATAACGATATTGATATACTTCGTGTGTTCGTACCACGTCACGTTTATTTTATTGTGCTTTTGTGTTATAAAATAAAAAATAAATGACAATAAAGAACGTTCAATATGGTCTCGTTTTGATTAAACAGAGCTCTAAGCTAGAAAACATCACTGGCGTTATATATTAAATCATAGGTGAAAACCCATCAAACCGTATAATGCTAATCTTAAGAGAAAAATTCGTTTTTCACACGTCCCTCTAAACAAATGAGTAAAGAATTAAAATTTAANATAGAAGTCATTTACCCTTGTTCCTTAAAATAAGTACATCTCACTTGGAACCTTAATATAAGGAACTTTTAAAAATGAAATCGCAATTTCATTCATCTCATTAAATATTTACAATGAAAATTGCATATAGTATTTTTTTTAATTTTAGATGTTTTTATTTAGCCCACCAAAATTTTTTTTCTTCGATTTTTGGCCCTCGACCAGAAAAGTTTGCCCATCCCTGCTCTAAACAAATAAGTAAAGAATTAAAATGTCATAATTTTAAGGATTTCATAAGAGAGAATCACAGACCAATGAAATCAATCTTAGATACTTTTTTTCAAGTTTTATTATTCTTTTTTACCATATTTATTTAGCAATAAGACAATAGAATTTTATTAAAAAAAAACATTAAGATATCTATTAAAACTAGAGATAGGAAAAAAAGTATTGTTTTTTATTGAATATATTTGGAAACTATTATGACGTCTACTAAAACTCTTTAGAGTGAAATTTTATTGAATAAAATTCGGTGGATGAAACAACCACCGTGTATACGCAGCTAGGTGCACATTAAATCTGTCGTAGCTGAAAGTCCTCTCGTTGGTTGATGTGGGGAAGTTTGGAAAGAGGGGAACCAGTTCAGGCGTTGTCCATTACGTCTGACCATGGTAAATTCTATGTCATATGGCTATTTAAAAACAGAGCCCCAAAAATGGGGCGAGTTGTTTGATCATGGTTAGGGGATCTGAATGTATCATGGACATCCATTTATTAAAGTTCATAATAAGAAAAAAGAGTATATAATTGTCATTGAATCAATAAAAACAGTTGCTTTGCATTAATTAGAACTCTAAAATTGTTTTAAGTAACAATATGTTATAGAGATTTTTGAATAATTTGTTAAATTTTTCTAATATTAGATAGTTCTGCTTACACCGAAGCGCTGAGAAAAAACGCTTGGAATCCAGCTACGGCTTCGTCACCTACATATGAAGCGGCAGCTTCTGTGACCGCTGGTAAGTTGTAATATGTATATTTTGTAGTTAATTTAATTAATTTGTAATTAATTAATACCCGTTACTTTTTTTAAAAAAAAAATAACTTTTCGGTTTGTTAACAGCATATACGGCCTCTTATTTAATTACAAATTTGATCTTTATACTTTTAATTGGAAATTTATTTTTAAATTAAATATCGCCAATGCTATATAGTCTTTATATATTCTTTTTTCGCCAAGATATTTAAGTTCGACCGTAGTAACATAAATTCTACAGTATTAAGAAATTTCATTCTTTGAAAATAAGTTCTTAATGATATATTCATATCAAGAAATAATACATAAACAATAATTAAGAAATAATGAAAAACAATTCCTGATATTTTCTCGCTTTGTCGCTAAAAATTATAAAAAACTTAAATATGTTGATGCACTTCAAACAGTAATCAAATCCTTTCAAGCCTACAACTAACTTCCAGTGCTTTGATTTAACAAGTAATCCAAATTTAAGATAAGGGGCTTAGCAAGACTCAATTTAATGTTACTGAATCACGAAATTTTAAACCGGTTAGTAAATGTCTTTAACATACGAAAAAATCGAAGAAAAAAACATAGGGATATTTCGTATTCATTAAAAAAACTTACACAAAATTTAGAAAAAAAAATTTCATGGATTTTTTTTGATTAAAAAATTTAAACAATTCATGAAGAATGATATATTCATATTTTAAAGGTTATTTTGCTTTGCTTATTGAGAAAAACTAGAAATGTGTACATGTACATATAATTTTTCATTTAAAATTCAACCAATGAAACTTTTAAATTTAATAAATTCTCCCTCGATAAGTTTGCTTCAAGAATTAAATAAACGTCAAATACAAAGGAAACTTTTTCTGATGCTATGTTTGCGGTCTTTTTTTTTTCTTTTAAATTGCTGCTTAATAATTTTAAACTGGAAATTAAAATTCTAATTTCTTTAAAAATTAATTCATTTTCAAACGTGCTCATCGTACTCATGATAGTTAGTTAATTTTAAACTTTGAATGTTTAATTCAGTAAGATTTATCAACTCATTATCTGACTAGCTTGTACAAAATAAAGAAATATTCCCCACAGAAAATTATAAAGTACAGTTGCGTGTACTTTATTTTCGATATAAAAAAGATATAAAAAGAAAAAAGAAAAGAAAAAAAAACTTTAAAGTGATAAAGAGAGGACGAAAAAAGAAAAAAAAAAAAACATTATTTTTTAAGCAGACGATTTTATGAAATTTGAGAATGGTGGATTTCAGAACCTTTTTTTTTAGTTTTAATATTTTGTTGATGATTTGCGGAAAAAAAAGTACAAACTAATATACCTTTCAAATGGTAAGTGATTCCAAACTATAATAACGGATTTTCATGTTATTACTAGGTAATTATATACTGCCACTTTGACTTAGCTTTCAAATTTTGCGCAACTTACAACGCAGCTGTTTTATTATTCAACAAATGATTTATACCGTATTTCATACCGCAACAAAAGTTTGAAATTGAAAATAAGACAATGATTCCGAAATCTGTCATTTATCGAATTGTTTTCCACAAAATTTAATTTTTTCTCACTTCTTCTTATCGTATTGCGATTCTAACGTTAACGCATTATTTCACTTAAAGGAATTTTAAATAATTGCTTAGTGACTCTGCCATCTACTGTCGTCGCTTACCAGCCTTTACAAATTTTGCAATCATTTTTTGCGTTTTGACGATAAATATGATTGTACTCAAGTCTCTTTCTAGCATTACCAAATGCACAAGCATGTCTCACAAATTTTTATTAATTAATTTTATTGTTTACATTGACTACCTGCAGTACAACTTTTAATAAAAGCAAAAAATTACTGCATAATAATTTTAAAACGATTAATAAGTTCCGATGCCGATTTAAAGATATTTACGATAAAATGTTGTGTTTTAAGGTAATATCATAGGATTGCTTTCTTATACAGAAATATCATTTTAGTTTTAAGCTTTTTAATAATCAAAATCCAACAAGTGATAACAAATAGTACTAGGAAGCTATACATTAATGTTGCAAGTGAATACTTTTAAAAAGGAATAAAGAAATATTTAATAGGTTTACAATAACTTGATATCTTTTATTGATTTCATGCTAATGACAACCAAAGAAATATGGATCTGCATGTGAGAAAGTTAGATTATATTCTGTGATGTTCTGACCAATAAGAATGCGCTGATAATAATAGAAAACGATTCCTTGTCTTTTCATGTTATTTAGAGAGAGTGCACTTTTTGAGTATCGACAATCGGAATGTTATGCAAAGTGTGGAAGCTATAATTCAGATTTATTGAACTTGAACTTACTTCGATTTAAATGATCACACCGCATGTATTTTGTGATTGTGATTATTTTATTCGGCGACTTGTTTTACTTCTTTGCTATATATATTTTATTCATCGAATCGAACAATCTACGTAATATAAATGTTAGGATTTTTACTTTCATATTCTAACTTTCATATCCCTTTTAATCCCAACAAAAGTTAGAATATTTTTTATTACAATTTATAACAAACGAAGAGTTATTTATACATTTTTTTAAATTTCAATAATTAAATTTGAGCGTATGTCACCCCGGTTGCTGAAACCCTCCAGCACTGAAATGGGTGCTGCAAATTTTCATCTGCAGATTATTTCATCTTAGTTTTCTTTTTAAAAAGCAAATAAACAAATGGGAGGAAATTGACGAACTCCTTTTTTAAAAAATCTTTAAACTTGTTTCCAATAAAAATTAAAAAAACCGTAAGTTTAATTGTATAGATATTTATTCGAATTCGAAGTTATTCGAAAAGTAAATTCAACTAAAAAAATGTTTTATTTTTTATGCCAGGATCTAAATCATCATTATAAATTAGCAAATTTTACCACAGTTACCAAATTTTAAGGTATAAATTTTTTTTTAAATTTTAACTATATTTTATTGCTAATTTTACCAAAATCATTACCAAAGCGCTTCGGTAAAAATTACCGAACTTTTTGGTGATCCCATAAAACCAGAAAAACCTTTAATTTTACCATATTCTTATAGTTTTTGCCATATTTTTTTCTCAGTGCGTGAGTTAATTTTCACAATAATAAAGTTAACGTACATTTTTATAATGTCCGACTGCGTGGAGGACGCAGATAAATTCGGATTTATGAAGACGGTGCTGCAGATTCATTTTGTAAATTTTGCTAATGGGTGTGTTGTTTTATATTAAAAGTAAAACAACATATGATATTATCTCAGCAGATTCTGTGATTAGTTTTGAATAGTTTCTTTAATGGAGCTACACGACTCTTTGATGCGATAAGATTAACAGTGATTTTGTCACTGTACTTCACTCTAAGGTACACAGCTGTTCCGTATGCTCTATGGCTGGCATCCGAAAGTACATGAATTTGAAGTACCGTGGCATCATCTAGATTGGAGTCGAGAATTCTAGGGACTTGTCTAGGAACTTGTAATTTTGAAATGTCAGATAACTCAGACCTCCACTGAATAAATTGTTAGCGAATGTCTGGTGGAAGTTCCGTCCCACGGACACTTTCTAAGCCACAAGTCTTGGAGTATACATTTGAGTCTTATTGTAAATGGACTACGAAGACCCAATATGTCGTGCAGTTTTCCAACAGTTCGTGAAACAACTCTTTTGGTAACACCTTTTTGCCCATTGAATTCGAGTTAGTCTTTTAGATCTACAGAGATACTATCTTTTCCTAGATGAACATCCCATTGAGGTCCAAGAATTTTGTGTAATTTGACTGCACGATTGGCCTCTGAATGAATGGGATGTGTTTTGAACCCGCTATCCTTCCCTAACTGTAACAAGTTCTTATTGTTTGAGATCCATTTGCACAAATTCATACTTGCGTCAGCCATAATTTGTTTGACTTCGTTCGCCATCTGAAAGGCAGATGGCACGTTGTCGAGAGCTCCTACTAAGTCATAAAGAATTTGTATGTCATACTGCTCAACTATGGCCGGGTTCGAACTTTGAAAAATAAATCACACTGCATTTCAATCCGTCTCATTCAACGATATTTGAAGGAAAGTTTTTTCGATATCTGCCAACATGAATACAGCATTCAAACGAAAAAATGTAAGCATGTTAAATATCAAGGGATTTAGGCAAGTCCTGCTCATAAACTATCGTTTAAGGAAAGTTCACCTTCTTGTGAGCTGGCATCAAAAACTATTCGTTTACTAGATAGAACCGATTGATTCTCTGTAAACCATCGAAAATGATAGATTAAATAACGGTTTATCTACCAGTACTTTGTCTTTTGGGACTTCTATGATACCTCGATTTTCGTAGTCTTTCAGAATGACACGATAATCAACATACAGTTCTGAGTGCCTCTCAAATTTTCTAATCAAATGATCTAGCCGTCCTCTGGCTATTGTTAAGTTATCGTTTAATTCCCTAAAATCACGTTTCCTTAGTATCCTAACATGATACCTCCCTTCACTGTAATCCACAGAATTTTTAAAAGCAGCTAAAGCAGTACTTTCCATTTGCAACTATCCCAATTGATTCTAATTCCTAAAATTTATTTAACCCTTCATAAGCATAGTCCTGTATGAAATAACATTTGGAATCATGTGGGAGTGTAGAGGGGATCGAACCTGTAACCATCCATCCGAAAACTGTTTCAATTTAAATAATAGAATTACCCCTTAATCGAATTTGATTTCCTTTTAACAATTCGCAAAATACGTCACCTCCTAAGAGAATCGATATTTTTTACGGTAAATAAAAATTGGGATTAGCGTTTTCAATTAAATTCAAATTACAAATGTTTATTTTTTCCGAAGGAGCATTTCCGGCTATTTCTGGTAAAATTAAGAATTTAAGTTCCTCAGGAACATCCTCAGCATACTCGAATAAATCTTTTCAGTAATCGGAAATACTGTGTTTTTTAAAAATCCGATTAAATTTGACCTACAGCGCGATCTTTTTAAACCTTATAAATAAGC